TATATGTATATGTGTGTGTGTGTGTATGTATACACACACACACACACACACACACACATGTCAGACTACTTAGACACATTACACTACTACCAAAACCTTGTAACATTAGACTATATGTGCAAATTATATGGTTGTGACCTGAAAGTACTTGTTGCAAGATTAACATTTTGTTGAAAGCTGACCTAAAATCACTTCTACCTTTGGCCTCAAGTAGATTAGAGCAAAGATTTCGCTCCAAAGGACCCTTCACTAGAAGAATTTTCTTCTTAGACATGACTGTGTACAGTTGCGTAACTGTCTGTACTGCAGGAAGGTATTCAGTTAAGACAGTGAAACCTTCAGTCTGTACTGGTACTCTGTTTTCAGTTTTGCATGCATTCAGTTGTTTTATTCATGTGTTATTTTGTGTGCTGTTGCTATGCAGTTAACTGGGAACAATTGTGTTTTCTTTGCAGATTGATGTCCTCATTTGTAACAGTGGATAGTTTATCTTTGAGGTCTGTTAGCATCAGCAACCCCTGAGAGTGGAGTGTTTCAGACCTTTGTTGTATCATGAACATTGTGCTCACCAGTTTAAGCTGGATCTCTAACACTAGTGAAATTCACAACAATATAACCAGATACTAAGGGTTGTTCTTCAGATTTGGTAGTGCCTCCCTTCTATTTAGTCAAAAATGTACGGTAGTGCTCGCTCTGTTGGCAGAGGGGATACAAACCATAGCGGAGGAAGAGATGGAAGTGGTACTGGTAATCAGGGATCTGGCCGTTCCCCTCGGCTCCCCCGCTCTCCTCGAATGGGGCACCGGCGTACCAACAGCACTGGAGGCAGTGGGGGAGGTCCTGGAGGAGCAGGAGGCAAGACCCTTTCAATGGAGAACATCCAGTCCCTCAATGCTGCGTATGCCACCTCAGGACCAATGTACCTGAGTGACAATGAGGTCGCCATGGGAGGTGACCACCTTCCCAAAACTGGTGGCACAGTGACCACCATGGGGAGACAGAGGGTGACTTATGGGTCGAGAGGTAGCAGCAGTGGAGTTGTAGCAGCAAGTACTCCTAATATCTCCACCACAGTGCCTGCCAATGCTGTGCTACCAGCAGGCATGATGGCTGGAGATGCCCTAGCTTTTGGAGATCACCACATGGCCTCCACAGTGCCCCATTCTCTAAGGCAGGCAAGGGACAATACCATACTTGACCTGCAGGCCCAACTCAAAGAGGTACTTTGCCAGTTTTTTTCCCACGATTTTTTCAATTCTGAAATTTTGATGAAGACGTTAATTTATGGCATTCACCGGTCATATGTTGGGTTGTCATGTACCTACCATTTATCCTGCGTTCTCAGGTTCTGCGGGAGAATGAGATGCTGCGGCGAGAAGTGGAAGTTAAGGAAAGCAAACTCAGCTCCTCCATGAACTCCATTAAGACCTTCTGGAGTCCAGAATTAAAAAAGGAGCGAGCTCTCAGGAAAGATGAGGCATCCAAGATCGCCGTCTGGAAGGAACAGTATCGTGTTATTCAAGATGAAGCACAGGTGAGCGTTGCTTAATGCTTAATGCTTAAATAGACTTTTAGCCTCTGTTTTGTTTTTTTGTTTTGTTTTGGGGGTTTTCCCTCTAATTTCATCATATGATGTCTCTCAGTCTGGATAGATTTGCCAAACTTCCAGAGCTTAACATGTTTGAGGAGGGGGGAAAAAAGCATTTCAAGCAGTGTGTCCGCTTTAGTACAAATGCTTTTCTCTTTTTGTTCTCTCTCTGCATAGGTTAGTGACAGTTTTTGAGCATCTAGTTAATCCTCTTATATGCAGCTATATGCTTGTGCATTTTAGATGAAAAAGGGTGGAAGTCTCATCTGAGGAACAGGATGAAAAATGTGCGAGGAAAAAAAAAAGAAGAGATGAGAACATTACAAAAGGTAGCAATAATAAAGGAGGGCTTTGCAAATAGTGCAATTTACAATTTACTAATACTGCGTCTATGCAGTATGTAATGATTAGTGTTTAGATGTTTAACTAAGCACTAATCATCACATACTGCATATATGCAATTTGAAGATTTTATCAAATCTCTCTTTTTAAATTTTTTGTCAACATTTTAGTGAAGCAATCACACCTTTGTGACCTACACCTGTTAAAACTAAGTATATAGCAATACACCGGACATATTTTGGCACCGTTAAATAGGAGTTCATCCAAGCAGGTATTTCTGTCTCGACTCCCTCTTTCTTAATAAATAAGTGTAGTGTCGACAAACTTTGCATAGGATGGTTCTATGGTTTAAAATCTAAAAGTGTAATTGGATAAGTGCAGATAAGGTCTTTTTAAATACTCTACGGTAGGTTGTTGGGCTCGTGCAAATTGGGTTTCGTTAATGAAGAGGCATCGTCTTTGTTTCACTGTGGTTCTTAATGGGTGGGCAGACCTGTATAATTTGCTGTTTTCACTCCTGCTGAGTCACAGAATCACACTCTGGACTAATTCCCAGTAATGCCTGACTAGCACTGCGTAATCAGCGAGTGCTTTAATTTAAAGATGTCTGCTTTTGTATGTCTGCCTCCGCCTCCCACACTGGCACACGTGCAATGGAAAGCATGGACACGCAAACATGCACACAGCAGTGTACTGACTCTTTGCATTAACTTACGCTTATTACATTTACTTACTATAACCTTAACCCTAACTACTACTTGCGTAGATCTTAGTCTTAGGCCTAAAGATAACTTTTCGTTGGTGGTTCTTAAAGTGGGCAGGTGGAGCCATTTTAAGGAGGTGACCAGAGAGTAACTAAAAAAAGGTTGACTGAATATGATTTTAGTTTTGTCGAGAAAATAAACTGCCAGCAATTTAACCATGGATATTTTTAATTAGTTATTGCTTTTAAAAATTGTGAGGTGTAGGTGGTGTGAATGATTTTCCGCTTGCAGAAAAATGAGAGGAATGCTACTTAACTATAACTTGAAACCTGTCTTGCTTTTTAAAGCATATGATTTAAATTATTGCTACTTGCTTTTTGTCTGTAAGAGTAAGCTGCCTCCCTTCCGGTCCTCATTGGAGGGCATTTGTTTAAGTTTCATGTAAAGCTGTTTAAGCAGATGTCTACATTTTTATGCATATATTTAAATGGATTACTTTGAATTTGAACATAGTGTTTCCCAATTCATACCACAGGCGAGTCTTCCTCTGCTTTGTTCTTCCTCTGTTTTGTTTGCTGTTGTAATATTAATGTTATATACTGCCATATGTTGTAGTGTGAATTGACCATCTTCATCCCCTACATTGAGTCAGATAATAATAGAATAATCACCAGTTATTTCTTGTTAATGATTCCTTGCCACATTGATTAAACGCTGCTTTTTTTTTGTGAGATTTGCCAAAGGTGTTTAATTATTGGATGTGGTGATGGCGGTGCCACAGAGTTAAGTTACAAAAAATGTTTGTATCACATTATCCAGTGTGGAAGATAAGCTGTAGATGATGTGTTGACTTCTTGTTATATCAATTTAGAAAGTGCATCATATAACCGCAATGTTTTGCGCTCTTTCAGACACCTAACTCTTGTCTTTTCTCAGAAGAGAGTGAGAATATGGGGGCTGAGGAAGGGAGGTGTGTGTGTGTGTGTGTGTGTGTGTCAGTTCTTGTCCGTACATGCATCTCCCCATGTGTGTGCGTCTGTTGTGTCGGGGGGGTGGATCGGTGCAGTCACAGCAGTGAGTCAGCCTTAGTCACGGGGTGGAGAGGGTGATGGAAAAGGATGGTTAGTGAGAAGAGAGGTGAGAGTATCAGAGGGAGGTAGAGAAGGAGTGTAGACTGCTGGTGGAAGGAGAAGGAGGGAATAACAAAGGAAGGAAAGGGAGGGGGCGCGGGAGGTGGAGGATGGAGAGATACGAAGGGAGGCAGACACTGACTTCTCTCTTTGTTCTGTCATCTGAAAATGCTCACAGCTGGTTCAGACCAGAGTGTAACACAGCCTTGTGTTACTGTCTCACAGCAACTCTGCCAAGAGTCTGTGGCGTCAGATGCCACAAACAATGCAATACTATACGGGGCTTATTGTGTTTCACCACTTGCATCTCTCTGGCCATGAATTGCAACAATGCTCAGAAAGCCTCCATGTTTTGGATCTATAAGTTGTGGCGCTGCTGAATTTTCAGTTATGATTAGTTTTTGTTTGGCTGGATGCAACGCAATACTCTACCAGGAGCCATTCCCAGAAAGTAGCCCGTGCATCATTCATAAAATCAATAAAATTTTCACCTCGTCTCCCTTGTCATATAAATAGCCTTGCAATAAAGGCTAGAGAACAAAGAGTAGAACCAGTAATTGTCAGCAGTTATATGTGTGTCTCTCCTCTGTTCCTAGCATCTCCAGATGACTGTTCAGGCTCTCCAAGATGAGCTAAGGATCCAGAGGGACCTGAACCAGCTGCTCCAGCAAGATCCTGCTAGTCAAGGAAGGGACCTGGCCCTGACATCCGAACCTACAGAGGAGAACTACCGACGGCTACAGGGTGAGCATGAGAGGCAGGCCAAGGAGCTCTTCCTTCTTCGGAAGACCCTGGAGGAGATGGAGCTGAGGATTGACACACAGAAGCAGACCCTGGCAGCCAGAGATGAGTCCATCAAGAAACTACTGGAAATGCTGCAGAGCAAAGGTGGGTTTAAGCAGGAAAAACCAAAATAGTTTAATGAAGTTTACAGTTGATTGATTATTAATGACTGTTTAGCTGTTTGTTGCATGTCTTCTGGTTCATGTATAGGGTTCACTAGGAAACAAATAAACTGTTTGAAACTGTAGGCCAATAATATTCATCCATTAACATTTTATTACTCAGTAGGTCTCAGGTTATCACTTGTCCCAGCCTATTTTCCTCAGCTCCTTTAATGCTCACACAGCTGTAGGTCAATTGTGGCATTCACTGCTCCATTTTCTAGACATGATTTCTCCTTTAAACTCAAGCAGGAGCTTAAAGACACTCCAAGCCTGTGCACAGGTGTTTTTAAAAAGTAATTGCATGCCGTCTTCCCTAGGGTGTAAATACAAAGGACATGAAATCTGAAGAACCCAAAGGTACATGAAATTAAAAGAAACTTAAAACTCCTTCCAGAAAAAGCTTAAACCCATTGAACCCTCAGCAGTTTTGGGGCTTTCTTTTAAACTCCTGTCACATATGTACTCACTCTGGGCTCATTTTAACAGGGCAATCATAACTAGATTTTTTTTTTGCACAGTATAAACACTCAGGCCAGTCCCCAGAACGGTTGGTGTCCTATAACAGGTGCGGTGAAACACTCAGACTGTATTTAAAAGATGGATGTCACCTTCATAATGTTACCTGTTGCTTAACAAAGTTACAAAGTTCTGTTGGGAAGTCTTCGAACTGACCGTCATCTTGTTTTTAAACTGGACATGAGTGAGGCGGCGAATCTGAAGATGACTGTATGTTCACAGGTTAGCAACTCATATCCTGCTTTATCCTCCCTTTTGAGTCTAATAGATGACAGTAATTACAAGGGAAATATTTAAGGGGGAATTTGCTTGGAGGGATAGAATAGATAGGCAGGTTTAAGGCACTTCTACCTTTGGTGCTTGTTTTTAGAGCTAGAAACTACACTATATTGCCAAAAAACATTCACTTGTCTGCTTTCAAACACATACGATCTTGTTCATACGATATGATGTCAGCACACCCTTTGCAGCTATGACAGCTTCAACTCTTCTGGGAATACTTTCCAGAAGGTTTAGGAGTGTGTTTATGGGAATTTTTGACCATTCTTCCAGAAGCACATTTGTGAGGTCAAACACTGAGGTCTCCGCTCTGATTGATCCCAAAGGTGTTCTCCCGGGTTTAGGTCAGGACTCTGAAGGCCAGTCAAGTTCTTCCACACCAAACTCGCTCATCTGTGTCTTTTTGCACCTTGGTTTGTGTACTGCTGTGGAATCATGCTGCAACAGAACATGATTCCAAACACGAAGTTGGGTGCATGAAATTGTCCAAATGTGTTGGTGTACTAAGTATTAAGAGTTCCTTTCACTGGAACTAAGGTGCTGACCCCATCTCCTAAAATATAACCCCATGCCCTAATACCCCCTCCACCAAACTTTACACTTGGCACAATGCAGTCAGACAAGTACCGTTCCCCTGGCATCCACAAACCCAGACCATCAGATTGCCAGACGGAGAAGCGTGATTCATCACTTCAGAGAACACATCTCCACTGCCCTAAAGTCCAATGGCGGCATGCATTATAGCACTGCATTTGGTGATATAAGGCTTAGATGCAGCTGCTTGGCCATGAAAACCCATTCCATGAAGCTCGAGCTAATCTGAATGCCGCATGAAGTTTGGAGGTTTGTAGTGACTGACTCTGCAGAAAGTTGGTGACCTCTGCACACTACTTCCCTCAGCATTCGCTATGATTTTTTTTATTTTTTTAGGATGGCAGGTTTTTAAGGCTTCAGGGGTTCAGTAAGTTAAATTACACTGCCCATTAGGTTCAATGTTGTGTGCTTTGTTTGTTTGGTTCTTCTTTTACAGTAGATGTGCAGAGTCTATCCTCGGATATGCTAAACAATTGTGTGCTTTTGTTTCTTTGTTTGTCTCTGAGAGTTAAACACAATTGGCTGTTGTAAACATCTAGACTTCATAATAGTCTTTTTTACATACATCAGAATTGTAACAAGTTGTTATGTTTGCTGTGTTAGGACCATCTGCCAAGGCATCAGAGGAGGACCAGGAGAGGACAAGGAGACTGGCTGATGCAGAAATGCACAGGCATCACCTTGAGAGTTTGCTGGACCAGAGAGACAGGGAGATCACTGCTCTGAGAGAGGTAATCTCCAGTTTATTAATTTTGGCATGCATTACTTTTAAGGCTTTCCATCATATTTGGTTTGATTGGTAAGATATCGATATTCATCAACCGTGTTTTACATCTGACACAGCAGGAGCTGCACCGTCGGTATGAAGGAACTCCAGAGTCCACCAAAACTAAGGCCCTACAAACTGTCATTGACATGAAGGTGAACATTTAGATAGAGAAATGTGTGTGTGTGTTTATAGTGTATTGGTGACAACATGCTATTGGTGATAACCTTTTTCCATTAACTCCAGGATGCAAAAATCAACTCAATGGAGCGGAGCCTCAGGGACATGGAGGAGGAGCTGCTAATGCTGAAATCGAATGGACTTCTGAGCTGTGAAGAGCGTCAAGAAGAGATGAAGCAGATGGAGGTTTACCGCAGTCACACAAAGTTCATGAAGAACAAGGTCAGAGACTGTGTAATAATTCTTATGTTTTTTTTGTGTTCACACATAAAACCCTAGAAACTACCTTTTTCTCATGGTAGCTGTAGCTTGTAGAGGTGGGAATCACCATACATCCCACGATACGATATTATCACAATACTTAACGCACGATACGATATTATTGCAATTTTTTAAAAATATTTTGCGATATTGAGATTCTGTACATAAAGGTAAACTTTATCAATATTCATTTTATCTAATATCAAAGTCTCACACTCAGTCTTTCTCTCATTTCAGTCAGTTTTATTGTTGACAAACTGAACGGTTTGCATTACAGTCTAGTCCAACTTAACTGAATGCAACCATCTGGTACAATTATAGCTATTCTGAACTATGCAATTTATGAAAACTATGCAGCCCATTCAGCAACTGAAGAATTTGAAAGTAAATTAAAACAAAGTATAATTTTACATTAAATAAAAAAGTTTTAAACTTAAAATAAAACATGTTTATTGCTGCCAAAAAAAAAGTTAAACACATTTGGACAGTGAAGGAATGTCAGGATTCTTGCTCAGAAAAAGGAGCTGATCAACATGCTCTGAAGTCAGAGCATGTTCCAGTCCACAAAAACTTTTTTTTGTAACAAAATATCGATTTCTGCTGTCCCTGTATCGATACATTATTAGCAAACAAAATATCACAATACTACACAGTATCGATTTTTCCCCCACCCCTAGTAGCTCGGGAGGTAGAGCTAGCCATCTACTGATCAGAAGGGTGGTGGTTTGATCTGCATGCCAAGTATCCTTGGGCAAGAAACTAACCCCAACTTGAATGTCTGTGATTGGTAGATAGAAAGTCATTGTGTGAATGGGTGAGTGAGCCACGTTGTATACAGTGCTTTGAGTGCTCCGCCAGTAGAAAGGCGCTATATAAGAATCAATTTACCATTTTACAATTTGTCCAACCCTTCCTCTTTCTTTCTGTGCTCGGGCTAATCTTTTTTCAGATGGAGCAGGTGAAGCAGGACCTCTCCAGGAAGGACACCGAGCTGCTCGGTTTGCAGACAAAACTGGAGACGCTTACCAACCAGTTCTCAGACAGCAAGCAACACATTGAAGTCCTCAAGGAATCCCTCACTGCCAAAGAGCAGCGGGCTGCCATCTTACAGACGGAGGTAGAGTATCCATACTTTCTCACCCACTGTATTGGTATAGACCAGGGGTCTGCAACCTGTGGCTCCGGAGCTGTATGTGGCTCTTTAGTCCTTATATTGCGGCTCTGCATGGTTTGGAAAAATAAATCATAAGTATTTAACTGAAGTGTATTTTATTTGTGTTAGTTCTAAATTGGAAGATTATTCTGATCTTGAAATATAAAAATAAAGTTATATTTTATTATTTTTCGTCGCTCAAAATAAGCGTCACACTCAGGGAAGCCGGTATACCTGCCGAAACGACGTGCATTTACCGAGACCTTCAACCCCAGGTAGGCCAAGTATGGAGAAATGTAAGAAAAGAAAAATATCTGAAGAAAATACAACATTTAATGATGCCTGGGCAGATTCATTTGTATTTACTTCTGACGAGAGTGGCCTACCAGTATGCCTAATTTGTGGAGTGTCGATCTTCGGATCCACATACGTATGTGAACAACTATTCTCCACCATGAACTATGCTAAAAACAAACACCGCTCACGCCTCACAGATAACAGCTTACAGTCCTGCGTAAAGAGGAAAGTGACTTTGTACAGCCCCGATCGTACAGCATGCACTGTGCGCAGAGGTTCAGGAGCAGAAGTCCGATTGTAAACATATCACGGCAGACCCAACGATGTTTACATGAACATGCTCTTCAGCATCTCTTTATTGACCACTTTTCACACACACAGCCGGCTGTAGCTTTGCAGCTCACAGCCCGACACATACAAACAACAGCAGAGAGAACAAGCCGGTGAGGCGTGATTGCGGATGCCACTCAGGTACGTCACGCCCCGCAAAGTACATTAACCAGGTAAAATAAATATTATGCAGATACTTAATATTTATTTTTAATTTTTTAGGAGCATAGTGCTTTTTTCCAATTATTTTTAAAATTCTGGTCAAGGCTCCGCTACACTCCGATAGCCCAGAAGGGATGACGGCTCACAGTTTTTGTTTGCTACATGGATAATTTGAGTTCAGCTTTTTAATTAATTAAAGCATAAAGGTAAAAACCAATATACACAGTGTTGTCTTCATTTTAGATGTCAAAAAGTATTTGCGGCTCCCAGTGTTTTCTTTTTTCCGTAGAAACCGGGTCCAAATGGCTCTTTGGGTGTTAAAGGTTGCTGACCCCTGGTATAGACTGTAGAGGCCTTTACACACCGGACTCATAACCATTCACACCGATTGCATAATTTAACTGGGTGACTGTGCAGCTTCTTTTTTTTTTTCTTTCCTGAACCAAGCTTGATTTTTTTATTTTTTTTTAATCTGGATAAACAGGCACACCTCGTATCTCAAAACATTGATAGGTACTGAATAAACAATGACATGGAAATAGTAAAATAATAGTATTTTTTATCTCAGAAACACAACACCGCTCTGAAATCTTCCTCAGAAGTTTAAATCTTTGCTTTTGTCCACACTCATTTTTAACTTGTAGCAGGACACGTCTGTAGTTCATGTCCGTAAACTGCTAACCCATCTTGTCTATCTAGGTGGATGCCTTGCGCCTGCGTTTGGAAGAGAAGGAAGCAACTTTGAATAAAAAGAGCAAGCAGATACAAGAAATGTCAGAGGAGAAGGGAACCCTCAATGGGGAAATCCACGACCTTAAGGATATGCTGGAGGTTAAGGAGCGCAAGATCAATGTGCTTCAGAAGAAGGTAACTTTAACAGAGAATAGTGCAATCTTGTTTTTGAAATGGCAATATGTGTCCAACGCAAGATCAATTTTATTGATGGTTACTTGTGTTTTCACTGCAGATCGAGAACCTGCAGGAACAGCTGAGGGACAAGGAGAAGCAGATGAGCAGCCTGAAGGAGAGAGTAAAGTCTTTGCAGGCTGACACTTCCAATACTGACACTGCTCTCACAACACTGGAGGAGTCTCTTGCAGAAAAGGTGGATTAATTTCTGCAGACTTGTATTAGTCCATCTGTATTAATAAACAAATGTTGGTTGATAATCTGTATAAGAATCTTGCTTGATTCTTTCCTCCACCTCTTTATAGGAGCGGATCATCGAGCGTCTAAAAGAGCAGAGAGATAGAGACGACCGGGAGAAGACGGAGGAGCTTGAATGTACCAAAAAGGAGCTGAAAGAGTTGAAGGAAAGGTTGAGCTTACTGCAGGGAGACCTGTCAGACAGAGAGGTGAGAAACATATGCAAAAAAACACACAGGCAAACTCTTGTTTACTGTGATTCTATTAATATAATAAAACAGTGCTGTCAGACACGGGCATCAGTTTTTTGTTGTTTTTTTCCCGCCTGTTAGTCCTAACTTTGCACTGAGGCATGGATGCCTGCACTGGTGTTAATGTATTCTTAGTCGTGTGTGTGTGTGTGTGTGTGTGTGTGTGTGTGTGTACGCACACAGACCTCTCTGTTGGACCTAAAGGAGCACGCATCCTCCCTGGCCTCCTCAGGGCTGAAGAAAGACTCCAGACTCAAGAGTTTTGAGATTGCCTTGGAACAGAAGAAGGAAGAGTGCCTCAAACTGGAGAATCAACTTAAGAGAGTGAGAAATACATTAAATACGTATTAAATACAAATACATTAAATAAAGCTTCAGGCACCTCACGTGGCCTGAGATGTCTAAACTACAGCCTTTGTTCTCCATCAGGCTCAGAATGCAGCGTTGGAAGCTCAAGCCAACACTGAGCTGGCTGAGCGCATTAGGAACCTCGAACAGGAAGTGGCCCGCCACAGAGAGGATTCTGGGAAAGCTCAAGCTGAAGTGGACCGCCTCCTGGAGATACTCAGAGAAATGGAGAATGAGAAAAATGACAAAGACAAAAAGATCAGTGAGCTGGAGAGGTGGGTTTGTGGATCTTGTCAGTGTGCATGTGTACATGTGGTGGATATTCAAGGGTGGATGCACCATATAAATGTGTATAACAAGTATTTAATGAGGTATAATGTAGGTCCACAGTTTGTCTCCGGGACTTCTGACCTTTGTTCGTCACATGCGATGTAAACATCTGAAGTGGTATCGCTGTAGAGACTGTTGTGGCTGGCACATTAAAAGCAGTCTAAATTGGCTTTCTGCCATTTGACATCCTGGCAGGAGTGCTTTGAAAGCTGGTGTTTGAGGTTTTGTGAGGTGGTTTGTTTCAGTGTTGACATGCTCAGCAACATTCAGCTTCTTTTCATGTTCCTGCAATTGTTTTATTATTATTTTGTGTAACATGACCTTGTTAGATCCAGAAAAGATGCTGCATAATCCGTGAGCTGATATTTTATGAGTGAAACCCCTTCTGTCTTGTTCTCCATGTTTGCTTATTCTCTTAGTCTGAGTCTGCTTTTCTCTTTACTGCTTTCTTGTCTTTTCATTGGAAATTTCCCACCCCGCCAGTTTGGCCTCAAGGTTAGTGACAATGCTTTTCTCTCCTCCTCACCTTGACACATTTTTCTCTCTCTCTTCCTAAATTTCCTGTGGAGCTGCAAGCAGTTGTCTTTTTCTTACTTCTGCTCAGGCTCATTTTTCCTTTTTTGCTTTATTGTTTTTGGGTTTGTTTGTTTGTTTGTTTGTTTTTTCACTCAAAGTCAAAATGATGCCTGAAATCTCACCCAAGCAAGTCTGTAAGATTGTGAATGTTTGTTTAAAATGGCAAATTATACCTCTTTATGTCCATATTTGAATCAACTACATTTACTTGGTGTACAACAATTAATGACCTAGAAATTGTAACGTGGGAATGTCTGAGTCATCAAGCACATACCTAATATACAATATTTGTTTTTGGTCCCATGACTTTATTTGCATGAGTTCCTTTATTTAGTTATGGATAAGCCATCTGTGTCACGCATCCGTAAGCTCAAAGTAGTAAAATACAGCGCTATATCTTGAAAATGCTTGCTGTTCACTTGTGTGTAAGACACATTTTCACTGTTCTAGAGGAACAGGAGCCCAAAATGAGGTCTGATTTGTCCTCTTGCTCCAAATAGAATATCTAATGTAACTGACTTCCTGTAGGCAAATGAAGGATCAGTCGAAGAAGGTGGCATCACTGAAGCACAAAGAGCAGGTGGAGAAGAGCAGGAATGCTCGACTTATGGAGGAAGCCAGGAAGAGGGAAGACAACCTGTCTGAGAACTCCCAGCAGGTGAAGGTGAGGCTTGCCTATGGATGATCTGCACTGTGCAAATTCTGTAGGAATGCTACTGCCTTTCTCAGTCAGGGTACAACTGGGCGAATCTGACATCTCCTTCCTTCTTCTACTGTGAAGGACACTTTACGCCAAAAGACAGAGCGCATAGAGGAGCTGGAGGAGGCCTTGAGAGAGAGCGTTCAAATCACTGCTGAGCGAGAGATGGTGCTCGCACAGGAGGAGGCTGCCAGGTCACTTCAGGAGAAACAGGTACACAAACACACAAATATAGCAAAGCAATATTTATGACCCAGCACCGCACGGTTAAAAGAAACTGCAGTTCTTCCTCTGTCGCCTTTTTCTGCTGCCACTGTGCTGTCGCTCATCCTTTCTCTCCCTCTCTGCCTGTCCGTCCTCTTGCTTCCTCTTCTTTCATCTCTGCTTGTCGTTTTCTCTTGTTTGTTTTTTTTCTCCGCTACACACCGCCTCTCAGAAGCACTCACTCAAAGCAATGCATGAGTCCAACCTCGCCAACTTTAAGTGGTCTAAGGTATGAGCCCAGTATGTGTCAGTGAGCAGCGACTCTTACAGGGGGTGGACACAATAAAAGCAACACCTCTACAGTTCATGCAGTCTCATGCAACAACCCTGCACAGGATACATGTGTCAAGTTTTAGTAATTGTTGGAGGGACTGCATGTGTGTGAAACGTGTTGGTGTTGTTTCCAGCCCATGTAATTTATGCGCCTTTGTTTACCTGCTGTTTGCTTTTAAAACGATGCTCATTAAAGTTTTCACTTTAATGAAATCCAAAGCCAAGTACATTTTTACTTCGAGCATGAATTATTCATTAATTTCCCTGTTCAGTCTGTTGTGATTAAGTAAATGTTTAATAAGGAATAACTGTAGTGCCTGTTTAAATTAAATAACAGGTAAATGAAATCCAGTCTTGATCCCTAGTCCTTCCCATCAGACCACGTGAATTCTGCTGTCCCTCCCTCTTATAAGAGACTGACAAATCATCCAGTGTCTTTTCTGGAAAAAAAAAAGCCCCATCCTTTTCCCTGGTGGATTTCAGGTAATCCACTCCAATCATCATTGAGCTGTTTGTGTGTGTGTGTGTCGGTGTTCCCAGATGGAGGAGCTGCTGGGGGCCATGGAGAAGGTGAAGCAGGAGCTTGAGTCCATGAGGGCTAAGTTGGCCTCCACTCAGCAGTCTCTGTGTGAGAAAGAGGCTCACCTCACAACCCTGAGAGCCGAGCGCAGGAAACACCTGGAGGAGGTGCTGGAGATGAAGTAAGAGACACACACACAGTGGGATTGCATAGACTCTGGATTATTGATCACCGCCTTAATCTTGTAAAATGTCATCCAATTCTGGCTTTTCCCAGATGGCAGGCTAATGTTGTGCAATGAATAATAAATGATAATCGAGCTATTTACTTTTGTGGGTAAATGCCACATTGTTACATCTCCACCTAACAGGCAGGAGGCGCTGTTGGCGGCTATTAGCGAGAAAGACGCTAACATTGCACTACTGGAGTTGTCATCCTCTAAGAAGAAAAAGACCCAGGACGAAGTGGCTCAGCTGAAGCGGGAGAAAGACAGACTGGTGCAGCAGCTCAAGCAGCAGGTGAGGAGGGGGCTGATGGTGTTCACAGAGAGAGGGTGATGGAGTGAAAGATGTAACGCTGGTACCAGACGTTTTTCCAGGTTTCCAGCTGCTATATGCAGGAAAATAAATCCTCACAGGACTGATGGGGGAATAATTTTGATCTTTTCTTTAAATAAAAAGTAAAAGCTCTATGAAACTGATGGATTAGAAGTAAAACTGTCTATGTCTAGAATGTGCTGCAGCTGTGTTTTTAAGCACAAAAAAACGGGTGTTACCATATATTGTTAGTTAAAGTGAATGGCTCTACCGTTCTTTCACTACTACTACTACTACTCATACTTAGGTCTGACTTTCACACTAAAAGCACTGTGGCATTAATAATTACTGAGCAGATGTGCATGTTAGAGCTCATCTTAGTTCAATCTGTTAATTAGTCTTTAAAATCACATGCTTGGGATGCCAGTGCCAGATGACCATATGCCAAATGGCTGAAATGCAGCAGCTCGGGTTAGAGTTGAGAAAGACGTGTGGCAAAGAATTCTGTCTCCCCACATTCCTGTCTAATCCTCACTGTGCTTGCATATGCTTGTAGTGTTTCTACCTGTGAGGAGCAGATATCTTTAAAAATGTTACTTTTAATTTGGCAAAAACTGAAATAACTACAGGTTAAACTGAACACACGCTGTCAACCAAACTGGTTTCTTTTTATATGCCAGTCTGAAAATGCCTGTTGGAGCCTGTCCATGTTGAACTTGCCTGTTTTATCAAACCCTGCATAGCATGAGTTGATGTCGCATCTCCATCATCTGAATCTTTGGAATTTCTTGGGACAAATCTGAGATGATCTAGGGAGAGGAATTCAATGAGTGTGAATAGCAAGAGAAACTATGTCGTCTTAGATGGTAAATCAGACTCATTTGCTCTTACCGGTACTTCCTGTTGCACTTTCTGTTTCCACACGCATCTGTGTGTGTGTACAATAACATGCAAATGACGTCTGTGCACAGTGGTGAAAACTGAGCCAGGCAGTATTCATTAAATGATGAAGTAAGATTAGATTTGTCCTGTTAACAATTTGTTTTCAGGCTGTACTCCCAAGATTTCAGCAGTTAGCTATAAAACCTTGGCCATAATTACGATTTCCTCTTCATCTTAGTTGGATGTTTTTAACAATTTGCAGACCCAGAACAGGATGAAGCTGATGGCCGACAACTACGAGGATGACCATCTGAAGACTGCACCTGACCAAACGAATCACAAACCCTCTCCAGATCAGGTAGTTTTCTTAACCGCCATAAACTGCTTTGCTAAATTTTTCTTCAGTCGATTTGTGGCCACGTCTGTAAGTAAGGTTGAACTCACGGCTTGCTCTCTAAAACTCGGACATGGAAGTTTTCTGCTGCTACTTTTCTTGTCTGTTTTGCACACTAACCAGATGTTCCTTCCTAATGCTGCAATTGGCTTACCTTGTGGCTAACAGGATGACGAGGAGGGTATCTGGGCGTAGCCAACCTTTTGCCCACCCCCTCCCCTCTCTCTCAGCCATTTTGTTCAGAAGGGTGAGCTTGTATGAAAAGCCGTTGCTCCATTGGCATGTTTGCTTGTCTTCCATTTCTCTGTGGGGTGCTTTTGATGCACATCTCTTCTCACAAACTCATCCTGTGCGCATTCATATACTGGTGTGTGCGTGCGTGCGTGCGTGCGTGCGTGCGTGCGTGCGTGCGTGCGTGCGTGCGTGCGTGCGTGTGCCCCCAGAGTGTCATCACTTCAAATGAAAGCAGCTTAGCTTTGCATGTCACTGCTCTGATGCTAATGATTGGCTTCTGACGTTTGGCTCAGACAAACAGGTGTTGGATAATGGCTTTAAACTTGATCTAATCAGTGGTTTAGTTATTTGCTTTGTAGGACACTTTGTTTAGCTGCACAAATCTGTACTCTGTCAGAGTGGCTTTCTTTTTCTTTCTTTTTTACACACCAAAAACCCCCCAAAAATGCCCAGACTCTTATGGCACAGCCAAGCTTCTCTCAGAAGGGATGTTTTGTTTCTAAGTGCCTCTCTTGGCTCACTGGGCACCATTCACTCAGGCTTTAATGATACTGTCTGCTGACCGTTTTTCTCCTTTGTTAGTGGTTAGTTTGCTATACTTATTTGTCATGACTAGCTGTTATAAATCAAACATGTAGAAATTGCTCAGATGTACTGGGCTCTGCTATAATGTGCTATCATTATTATTTATATTATGTACAGTGCTTTGCTACTCTAACCAATCGTCATAAAATCGCGGGGCAGATCAGGACTCTGCTCGCTGTATCTCAGCATGGCTTGAAACACTATTTGGGAACCACTTTTCTAGCTTTAGGGGTTTAGCAGGAATTTTGGCTGTCATATGAGCTGGTGATGGGCATGCATGTCAAGGCTTATGCTTTCTTTGTTTTTAAACACAAGTGGTGTCTTGTGCTTGGTTCCTTTCATTCTCTTCAACCGTTTAAACCGGGGTAAATTTTATCGTTTAATTTTTTTTTCGTGCCATTTCCTTCGAATCGCCTTTCTCACTTCTTCTTCCTCACATCTTGCAGATGATACCCCCTCTTCTAGCCCTTTCCCAGAACCGCAGTAAGCTCAAACTTTACATCGCCCACCTGACAGACCTCTGCCACGATCGAGACCCCAGCATCCTCAGCCAGCTCACGCCGCCCACTCACTACCACCACAGCGACCCTGAAGACTGGGAGGAGGACCTCCAGAAAATGAGCGCCGAACAGGTAATGAAGAAACTCTTAAGTCATCGTGACAGTCATCTCTGAGCAACTTCTTTGATACATATTAAGCTTTATTTTGCGGGAGCATTAAAAATATGCTTTTGGAGAGATTTTATTGGTGGCGAGGCAATTCAAAGAGGAAATCAGGGAAGCGGTTCAAGAGACAAACAAACACACTTCCAGTGCAGTAACATGACTTAACATGAAGGAAATGGAAAAGGTGCAGCAGGGAAAACTGATCACAGACAAAAGAGGAATGGAGTAGATGCAGCTGTGTGTTGTTTAAGAACCCTCTTTTAACCTCAGATATACCTAAACATGCACCTTTTTGTGAATTGTGCTGATGGCTGTGTTGAAATGCTATTAAAAAGCTACTCCTGCCCTTTCTCCTGCAGTTGGAGCGGGAGCTGGAGGTGTGTGAGAAGGAGAGCGGAGAGCTGCAGGAATATGCCAACTCTGTTCTCCAGCAGATTGCAGACTACTGCCCTGATATCCTGGAGCAGGTCGTCAACGCCCTCGAAGAGTCTTGCTGAAAACTCTGACCTCAGACACAACCCGTCTGAGTCCAGGTCTCCCTACCTCCACCCCCCAAAAAAGTGAAAGGTTCCTGGAGAGAAGAGAAAGTAGGGGGCATTATCACATCTTGCTGGACTCCTCTTCTTCGTGTCCCTCATTCTACCCTGCAACAAACTGTCAGGACCTCTGGGTGCTTTCCTGTCCCACATGTTAATCTGTCAGGCTGGCAAAATTAAATTAGGGATGTTCGTGCTGTTAAATATGGCACTTGACACATGTAACGACAGCCGCCGATAGATTTTACGTGCACACCTCATCACTGTCAGGCAGACAATAGCACACTATCGGTTGTTGCAAAATAAGTAGCATTTGCAAACACCCCTAATTTGATTTTTGCTTTTTAAAGGAAACTAAAAACTGAACACGGGTGAATTTGGAGGGGGAAAAAAAAGCAGACTTGCACATAGTTACGCACAACGGAGAATACTGCCAACCTTTTTCTCCTTAGATAGCTTTATTGATAACAGGAGCACTCGCCTTGATCTCAGTCTTTAACCCCTTGGATTTCTCTCACAGAACTTTCAAGTTGAAGTAGTAAGTTTATTTGTTGCTCTGGACAGGAAAGCACTTTTTTGGTCTTGGAGAACTGGGGAGCTGCTACATCTCGAGGGAGCGGAGAGGAGCTGGGCCCAGTGGGTAAACCATGGATCCGTGTAATAGTTTGGTCCTTGAATAGTAACACTGAATGCAACATTAATATTCTCAAAAGCCTTGTGTCTGTCCACGTAGCTTGGATTAGGATGTAGGTGTGTTACTGTCATAGTCTGTGGCTGGGTCATTAGAGGGGGAGTCAAGGCCTGACCTTTGACATAAACCAAAGGTCAGATTTTAGTTAGTATGTTCTCAACAGATGAGAGAGAGGATTTAAAAAAAAGAAAGGAAAAAAAAAAGCTTTTTTATTATTGGTGACGATTATTAAGTTTTAGATGGTTTTGCACACTTGTCCACTTGTTTATAGGGTATGCAATGTTTGTTTTGCGAACGTTTTAGTGGCCTTGGAGCATGCACAGAGATAAGTACTGGACCTAACGCAGGGATATTTATTCCTCTGTAATACTGGTGCTAAGGCATGATGTAAGAAATTACGATCTGAACATTCAGTCTTCATCCAAAGTTCCTTTAGATGGTACTCGAAGCCCACCTGATCCTAAGTTTGTCGACTGAATCGCTGACAAAAACGAGCGATGCCTCTGCTGTTGTGTTTTTTGAACTCTTCAGGGCTGTGGTTTTTAATTACTAAGTGCATCTACATTTCCAGAAAGGTCACTTTTCAGCAGATTTTGACTTTTTAGATAAGTTTGTAAATAACGTGATATTTAACATGTGCAGTGACTGAATAAAGGTAACTAGGTGGAAGGTGTCGTGCATTCTCTTAAAAAAAAAATATATATATATATATATATTGGAAAAGTTAAAGCAGTGCAGTTGTCATTGTGTCTTATTTTGTCTGCAGGACAAAATGTGCGTGCGTATGCGTGTGTGTGTGTGCGCGCGTGTGACACAGTACTGCCACAATTTGCGGAAAGTCGCGTTCAATAGAGATATATAAATATAACACATATATAAATATATAAAATGTTTACTGTATCGATATGCATTGAATGTTTGCACAGAATCTTGAAGGGGCAAGCTGCTCTGAACAACATGACTGTCGAGTTAACGTCCTCAGCAGAAATGGAGGAAAGAAGTGTCAAAAAAAAAACAACTTGTGTCAAAATAATGTGTGAACTACAAATGTTTCAAACCGTGACTGTGTGATGGGAGAGTACTTTTCTTACTTTTATTTCTAATCGTTCACCAGAGGGTGATGTAAATGTATTATCTGAGATTCCAGTGTTGTCTTTTCTTATGTTAATGGTTTTGGCTGTTTGATGTCAAAGGCAGACCGAGCCTGACGGATAAAAATACGCCTGGCTCTTCTGCTGTCATAAGAGAAACACAATGTTACACAACAGTGTGAAACTGCGCCAGTATACGTCTGAAAATGGGTGATTTTTTTTTTTTTTTAACTTTCTATGTATGTTGTAAATTTACTGGTATATTTGAGAGGCAGGGTGTACTTCAAAAAAACAAAAACACCCCCCTGTGTTGGAAGATGTTATTTGGATGCTTGTTTTTTTGCTCAGTAAATTCTCCTTAATATCTGTAACCTGTCATCACTACAGAAAAAGCATTTTTCAGAATCCCCCCCTTGCTTTGGCCTGTGTGTCCCTGCCCTTGCCTTAATGATTTCTTTTTCTCAACTCCTGTTTGTGGAACACAGAGCTGCTTAAGGGGCTTCTGTCAAAGTTCATGGTGTTTGTTTTTATTTTGTATTTGTATAACAGATGTACTGCCTTCTGTTTATTCATGTCAAGAATCAAACTGTGTTAAAAGAAAGCAACATGTTAGTGAGTTATTTGGATTTTGTATGTATGTAAATAAATAAATTATAAGCCTTGTTTTCTTGTTATGAGGGCATTTTTTTTTCTTTTTTCCCCTTTAATTTTAAATTCCTACTATGATTCCTTTCCAATCGCTACCTACCTTTGAAACAGAGGAGGGAAGTTGACTAACAGAAGAAAATAAAGACTTATAATGGACATGTAGTGTAGCTGTCACATCTGTCCTTTGTTTGACCTTAGCTGTAACTAGTGCGTATTATCCTGTTGCCATCCTGTAATCTGTGACCTCTGACATAAACAAGGCATTTTCACCCATAGGGTATTTTGTTTTTTGGACCTTTCTGATTTTGTGGGGAGAATACCAGTATATCAGCAGTGCCTGAAAGACTCAGACCATCCCGTCTGGCACTAACAACCATGCCAAATTCAAAGACACTTCTTCTGATACTCAGGCTGAACTTCAGCAGGTCATCTTGACCCTGTCTGAAGGCTGTGGTAGGTTTACTTCACCTTTGGTCCACAATAAAGTTAGGTTGCTTCAAAAAGGAATAAAATAAATATGTTTTGTTGAAATACATCAAACGCATGTTCTGTTGTTCAGATTTTGACCATAGCAGTTAACAAATTTGACTATGCAGCATTTGTATTATGCTAACTTCAGATATAACTCAGCATTATACTATAGAAATATACCAAAAACTGATCGAACATACTGCACAGCCAATAGAAGCTGTACAAACCACAGAAATAAAAGCTTATAATCATACACCTAATCAAAGTTGGTACAGCTGTTACAAATAAGAGACAAGAATCAAACATATTTGTCCTCTTTATTCATAAATATCACTCCTGTATGAATATAAAACAATCTTAAATTACTGCTTTTTTTTTTTTTTTTTTAAAGAAATACTCTGGTGTTATCATTGGAAGCGCCAGTTGAAAGTATTGCATATAGTCTTGGTAGTTGCTAATGACTACACCTCACTGTATATGTGATGATAAACCTTAGACGTGATACATAACTTACTTCCTCAGTAATATGAAAGAGAGGCCACTAAACATAGGTAAACAAAGACAGGAGTGATTCACCCACTTCAATTTGAAGTACAAATTTTAGTCATTCAATTACAAAAAAAATGTTACAGGTAAATAAAAAAAAAAACAAGGAAAACAAAAACAAAATCTATTAACAAACTTCAAGCACTCGAGCACTTCTGTTTAAAGTTAAATGCCTAGCTGTTACTCAGAAAACCAAAAAAAAAGGATGAAAAAGAGAAATCAAAATCTCCATTGGTATGCGAGTCACAAAAATATAAACTCTAATCTAGTATTTAGCAACAGCAGGCACTCCTGTGTTCAATGAATGAGGTAGCTAGACAGTAGGAACTGTACACAGGCTGAGATTTAAAGTGCCCCTATTATGCTTTGGGTGGTTTCCCTCATCCTTTTTTTGTGTTGTCTATAACAAATACAGTTTCTCTTTTCCCACAGAAAACATTGCTGCTGGACCGAAATACCTCATTCTGGATTTTGTTGCCTCTGAAATTTACATCACATTTTAAAAATACTCATATCCTTACTCTGTGCACATATACACCATATTTTAATACAAATTCACAACCAAGCTTCTTTTGTTTCCAAATTTTTCTGGTTTTGATGTTAGCCAGCAGACTGAGCATAAAATAGTGGAGACTATTTAGACTAATCTAAAGCGGCTGTCACTCTAACAAAACAATCACTTAGAAAGTTGAAAAGCATGTGTTTCTACTGTGGCTAAAGCCTTTTCTTTTTTTCTTTTTCTTTTTTTTTTTTTTAAATCAGGCAACAGATTGTAGAGGGCTAGGTCAATGCAACCTGAGCAGCAATGACAGCATGAAATAAATTCTGGTAGATCCCTAAAATAAAAAATTCAGACCCTCTAAATGAGCATAATTGGGGCACTTTAAGGAAGGAGAGGACAAGACTGAAATAAAGTCAGAGTATTGCAGCAGAGGTGAACAATATTCCAGTGATGAATGCCGAGTCCGGCTCCTCGTTTTTAGTCGCAGCATAGAAGGTAAATTTAAGAATGGAAGCAGAGTCTCCTCTGAAATGTGGACTGAACAGGAGAGCTTTCACCTCACCCTCTCGCTCTCAGTCATCTGCCACAGTCCCAGGTTTAACACTTTAAGGCACGGGAGCTGTGTTATCCTCTCCAAGCCCCTCTTGGTGATCTTAGTACAACCATACAGATCGATCCCTGTCAGCTGGCTCAAGTGGTCAGCTATCAATTCCAAGCCTTTGTCTGTGATTCGCACACACTGTCCAATGTTTAGAGTCTTGAGTTCGTGCATCTGGCGTACCATCCTGTTAATGCCATCGTCACTGATGTGACAAGAGCACAGAGACAGAGACTTCAGTTGATATAGCCCCTGGGCAATGTAAGCCAGGCTCTGGTCAGCAATCTTATCACAGAAGGAGACGTCAAGCCCGGTGAGCCGGAGGGAGCCCGTGGCCAGATGCATTATCCCGGTGTCACTGATGTTATCACACGACCGCAGGTTCAGGCTGCACAGGTGGGTCATGTGTGAAAGGGGGATCATCCCCGCATCAGATATCCCCCCACAGAAGCTGAGGTTGAGCACTTTGAGCTTGTTTAGGCCCTTTGAGATATGTTTGAGGGAGAGGTCGGTGAGCTTCTGGCAGTCCTGCAAAGTTAACTTCTCCAGGGTCAGGCAACCCTCTGCTGCACTGCGGGTCATACCAGACAGGTGGCCGATGCCCACGTCAGACACATGCCTGCAGCTACGCAGGTTAAGGCTCTTGAGTCTGTGCAAGCCCCAGGCAATGAGCAGCAGGCCCGTGTTGGTGATATTGCTGCATCCCCCGAGTTCAAGCACCTCCAGGTTTTTGAGGTACTGAGCGATCCTTCCCAGGCTGGAGTCAGTGATCTGTTTACAAAGGCTGAGGTTCAGCACTCGCAGGGATGAGATGTCCTGCACAAAGGCATGTCCGAGACCGTTGTCTGTGAGGTTGAAACACCCACACAGGTTAAGGCTTTCAATGTGCGGCATCCCCTGAATCACGTAACTCAGACTTCGCCTCAGGCTGAGAATCTGAACCTTCTTGATGCCCCGAGTCTGCAGGCTGGGGAACAGAGACGGGTTGGCTCGCCGCAGATGGAGCTTGGCTTCCACCCCCCTCCACACCGACTTGTGGTAGGACGCGTCTCTCCAGGCCGTGCACACTTGGGCTACTCTCCCTTTGTCCTTAACGTCCAGGTAACTGAAAATAATGGCCAAAATTTCCGGGAAAAGGCACGAGATATGCGTCTCCATTTCAAACATGTCTGCAGGCGGACTCCTTTTGGCAGCACAGGCTGTTTGTGAGCGACAATACTCCCCCGAAACTCTGCTGCCGAAGTTGCTGTCTGGCCCGGCAAACGTTAGCTAACGTCAGCTAGCATACAGACGAGCTACCGGACAGCTTCAAGTGTAGAATGACAAAAAGAAACATGCTCTATTAGAGTCAATAAAAAACAAGAGCACGCAAAATGACCACTAGCTGCACGGTACTGCTGACAAGGTGGAGGGAGAGGCAGGAGACTCAGAGATGGAGACGTAGTAGTTACCTAGCAAAGCTAGGCTAACAGCAGCGTCAGCTAGCTGTCCAAACTTGTAAGCTTCAAAGTCGGACAGCCCGTTCGTCCAAGACGCCCGGAACAGCTTATTCTTTACTCCAGCTCATGGTGACGCTTTTCTTAAACTCTCTTGTGTAGGAACTTTTATCTCTCTCGCTGTTTTCTCGTACAACGACAGCTGCCCGGCTCCTTTATCTTCTTTGGCATTTCCATCCCGGATCTCCCCCATGAATAAACCAACTGTTAGCGCACGGCGACTAGCGACTCCTACTGGATCCATGACACACTTTTTTTCTTTTTAAAATAAGATTGTATGGTTTTAAAAACAAAACAAAAAACCCCCCCAACAAACTCAATAGTGCTTTGCGATACTACAAATTTAGGTAGATCCGATACCAAGTAACCACAGGGCCAATATTGCCGATACTTTTAACTTACAAAAGCAGCTTATGTAGGGGAGAGCAGTGTGTCATGATCTACGTGATTAGATTGTAATTCTAAATCACATTTAGAATGTAATTCTAATCACATTTCAATCACCACTAAAAAATTTTTACTTTCCAAAAATACCATGTTAACACAACAAAACATTCCTTTCAGTTTTTCATGTATTTTGAAATACATGGACTGTAAATGTGCCTGTCTCTAAAAGGACTAGGTCACCTTCTGTTGTTTTTATGTGCTATGGGCTGCAAATAAAATAGATGTGTCAGTCAGCAAAAAAAGGGTACAGAAATTTTCACAAACTAAATTTTACTATGTTTGAGTTAAATTTTTCCATTTCCAATTCAGTAATTGATTTATCACAATGAAGTGATAAAAACCACTGAAAACATATCAAATGTTTAAACTGAGAAAGTGCAACATTTAAAGAAAAAATAAGGTTATTTTGAAATTGATGGCAGCACCATGTCTCAAAACAGTTGGGATAGGGCCATGTTTACCATTGTGTAGCACACCCTCTTCTTTTAACAACAGTCCATGAACATCTGGAAACTGACAAGACCATTTGCTGGGCTTTGGGGAGAGGAATGTTGTCCTGTTTTTGACTGATACTGGATTCTAGCTGCTCAACAGTCCCGAGTCTTTATTTGTTGTAGTTTTAGTTTCATAATGTAGCAAATATTTTCAAATGGTCTGAAAGGTCTGAGCTGCAGGCAGATCAGTTCAGCACCCTGACTCTCCGAATATGGTTTATCATTGTCTTGTTGAAACATCTGAATGAGAGCATTTGTAGCTCTAAAACCTGTACATACCTTCCAGTATTGATGGTGCCTTTGCAGATGTGAAAGCTGCCAGTTTCATAGGCATTAATGCACCCCAATACCATTAGAAAGACTAGTTAACACAGCGCTAATAACAAGCAAGATGGACCCTCTCTTCTTTAGATAAGAGGACAAGAGGTCCATGTTTTCCAAAAAGAATTTCACATTTAATT